TGTAAGCATCTCCTTATCTTATCTAATCAATGGAATAACAAATTAGCTCCTCATCCTCCCAATCTCGGAGATAAGCTCCACCTTCATGGTTTATGTTTTACCAATACAAGAAGCATGGTAATACTTGTTGTAGACATTTGGGAAGGTTTTGAATCACTGCAAGCATTGTTTAAATGTGTTCATAAGCAGGAAGCAGATGGGTAAATGGGCAAATAAGAACTTCAAAAACCAGGATGCTGTTGCTCAAGATTTGTATCATTTCACCACTACAAGATGTTGCCAATATAAAGTGGTATACCAGGTTGATGCCTGCAGCTACATGCATCATCACAGTACTGGTTTCTTTTCATCCTGAGATGCAGTTTTTTGTTAAAACCATCCTATCTGCTAATTAGCTGCTGGATTGTTTTAAAGGCAGCAGAAGGTGGTCCCCCTGTCCCACCTCCCCAGCATGTCTACAGGCTCTCTGGTCGCACCGGGGAACCCAGTTCCATTGGCTTACCATAGAAGTGATCAGACTGGAATGTCCCTGGTCATTTCTATGGTATACAAAACTGGAAGTGACAAGTATTTCATCATTATCAGTTACCGGCCATTACTGGTTTGGGAAAGCTTTGGGTCAAACTGATCTGAGTTTGATCCGAAGCTTTCAAGGGCAGAGGAGAGATCTGAGATCCCAAATATCTCAGTAAAGAGGACTTGTCACTGCTTGTTATTGTTATTACAAGGAATGTTTTCATTCCTTGTGATAGCAATAAACATGATTAAAAAAAAATTAGAGGGACAATGTAAAAAGAAAATTTCTTTAAATAATAATAAAAAAAGTAAAACACCCCCATCCCCCCCGCAAAGGTGAAGGCACACGTAGGTTGCGCACACATACATAAACGTGGTGATCGCACCACATGTGAGGTATCACCACAAATGTTATAGCAAAAGGAATCATTCTGACACCAGATCTCCTGTGTAACTCTAAAGTGGTAACCTGTAAAGGCTTTTAAAGTGTCACCTATGGAAATTTTTAAGTACAGTAGTTTATCGCCATTCCATGAGAGTGAGCAATTTTAAGGTTAGGTATTTATTAACTCAGCGTAACATCTTTTATATTTTACCACCCATTGGGTGTTATATTGTGTTTTTGTGCACTAAAATTCATTCAATTGTATTTTTTCTGAAAAACATTGTGTTTGAAAAACCGCTGTGCAAATACCATGCGACATAAAAAATTGCAACAGCCCCCATTTTATTCTCTAGGCCCTCTGCTATATAAATATATAATGTTTGGTATTTTTAATTAATTTTCTTGCAAAAAAACATGATTTTTACATATAAACAAAAAGTGTCGGAATAGGCATGGTCTTAAAGTTGTTAAAGCATTATTTAATCAACAACAGTAAAATCAGTCTGTATATGCAGGAAAGTGTGCTTGTTATACTCACTGTGGAACCTAAGGGGTTAATCCTCTGCATTGTGTAAAAACTCTGCTTGATCCTGTCTTCTCTGATACTCCGAATCTTCTACTGTCCCAATCCGTCTGCCATAGTACAGAGTAGTAGTAGCAAGTCTGCACATGCTCTATTTGGTGTGTATTGCTAGACATTATTTTGGGGGGGGGGTGCATGTGGGTCAATCAGTCAGGACAGAGGGTCAGGGGTCATTCAGCCTCATAGGACATTAAGAAGAGAATGAAAATGCTCGGCCGGACACTGATAGAAGTCACAAGATTGCTATACACTGATGAGAAAAGGTATTTAGCAGTTAATATTTACTAAAATATTTGCACTTCCATGTTCTGTTTACTGTAGGAGACCAGATGTAGTGAATGCAGGGTCCTGGGTTTAGTAACACTTTAAAGGTAGGTAAGGTAAGACAAGATATTATATCCTTTATAATTATTAGAACCACAAATGGCATCAGTTCCAGAACATTCAATCATTACAACCAAATGTGAGATCAAACATAACTGGCAGCCTAGACTTCATGGAGGTCATTGCTAGGAAGTTTTTTTGTGAAGAGAAAACCATTGATCATCCTGCTCGTGCTAGCAAATGACAAGCTGTTTCATCTAAAATCTCTAATGGTGTGACCGTGTCAAAGATCATGTGGCAGAAGGGAAAAAAAAATTATTTCTTATAAAATAATTCTTAAAAATAACTAAATATTCGAAAATGAGCTCAAACCCTGATATCCGACCAAGGAATCCCTGGTTCACACCAGTGCAGCTTTGAAATCGCGCTACTTAGTGCAATTTCAAAGCTGACTATTCAGTGTGAATTCATTTAAGAAATGTCAATGGAAGTTGCAATGAAGTTGCACAAAAACAGTGCAGGAACTTTTTTCAAAATCGCTTAACCAGAGTTGCATCGCTTTGAACAGTTCGATTGCCACTAATAGGGTGCGACTTGGCATGCTACTTTGAACTTTCAAGTTGCATGACAAGTCCCACTGATGTGAACCAGGAAGTTATGAATACGGTAACATATTTTATGAACAAATTTTTTCCAAAGTGGTAATCATTAGTAAAAAAAGAAATGTATAACTGTTGTTGGAATAGTTAATGTACAACGAACTAAAAAGAGCATAAAAAAAGGTGTAAAAAGTAATACTCTGTATTTATTAAGTCAAGTACAACCAGTATATAATTTAAAACGAAACCCTGCATAGCATTGTAAACACTGTATCAAACCATAGTTGCTAAAGAGAGAAAATAAATTGTAGATCAGACATGGAGAACCTTTTACCCTCCGGCTACTGAAGAGCTGTATACTGGGCTAAATGTAGTATTCTAGTTTACCTGTCCCCTCACCAGATTGTTTGCATGTCCCCACAGATATGATATTAAAGGAATTCTGTTATGAAGAAAAATGCTTTTGTGATTAGATTCCTATGACAGCAAACATTCCTCCCTGGGAAGTGACTGTACCAAATAGAAAAGTTGAAAGAAGCCTCCTTAAGCCACATCATCAAAGCTGGATATTGACAGGCCTGTTTTTATCACTGTGCACAGCATGAGTACCTGAGAACAAAACATATCTCTTGCTATATGACCACCAGTGGTGTATTTAGGTTTTGTGCTGCCCTAGACAAAACAGAAATCGTCTGCCCTCACTGCCACTGACCCACACACCCCCATCCCCCTTCCGGGGAGAGAGCCTGACATTGATCAACAAACCCCTGCCCCCCACCCAAAGAGCCTTCCACTACCCCCCCTTACCCGGTGATAGAGAAAAAGACACTCGTCTTCACAGCCACAGCCGCAGGAACGAGAGTCAGTCTTTACATACACCATCAATAAGCCTGCAGCCTCTCTCGGATCCCACCTGGTTCCCATGGCGTGCTTGTCCCTTCTTTCATCCCTTCTTCTGGGGGGAGGTGCTGCCCCCCTGAAAAATGACGCCCTAGGCAAATGCCTTGTTTTCCTTGTGGTAAATATGCCATTGATGACCACCACTTGCCTCCTACAGTACTTCTGTTGGAAACAGGCTGCTGGTATTGAAGGCTAAAGGGACATGGCATGGCACATAATACTATCGTACTGCAAAAGAAAATGTTCAGTGCTAGACAGTGGAAAGTTCTGGAGCCATCATATCCTCTACTACAGATAGATGAAATACTAAAGTACCTGTATATTTAAAAATCACACCTGAATCTGAACACTCACTATCAACGAAGCATCAATAGTAGATAAGTGATGTTGCCATAAAGAATATAGCTGTTGATGCTCAGGTATGAATTTAGCAAAGCACAGAATAAACATAAGGAGCTACACACAGCAAGGGTAACATAAATCCATGGCATATTGTCAGCAGAACCAGACAGTACCATGGTGTAAAGCACAGGTGTCAAACTGGCAGCCCTTCAGCTGTTGCCAAACTACAAGTCCCATGAGGCATTGCAAGATTGACAGTTACAAGCATGACTCTCAAAGGCAGAGGCATGATGGGACTTGTAGTTTCACAACAGCTGGAGGGCCACCAGTTTGACACCCTTGGTGTAATGTAACAAGAAGGATTTTCTTTGTGCCTGGAGGTCCATGGTGTCTAGCCTCCAGAATCAGCAATTCTTTTAACAAATGTGATTACAATAGGAAGTGAATGGTGGTATCACCCAAACAGCTGGAGATCTCAGTGGGTAACATTCAGTTGGTATTCCTCCTCTGGCCCTGACCTACATGGCTTACCTACAAATCTTTACTCTGATATAACTTCTTTTATACTTTGTCAGGGAACACTGACTCTTTTAATTGCACCACAGTTAAAGAAACAGATTGACCATACTCATTCAATTTAGCCACAGGTGAAGCTCAAGAGAGAAAAAGTCCTAAAAAATATTTTCACTGTATATCCATAATTTGGTTTAAAAAAAGGGATGCCCTTATAATATTTGCTGTGCGCTTTTATACAGCTTCTGAGAAGTAATCAGTTGTCTCCTATAGATATTTAGATCATTCAGCAATTTTAAAAAGTTGGAAGCAACATTTTCCACTATAGTATCTCGTATATTCTCCATTAAAATTGATGGAGAGCACACAAACTTTCAGCTTGCCTTGGCCATACCAAGGATGGAAGGAGACCTCCAAACAAGTTAGACTCAGCAGGATCAAACGTATCCATATTTCACTGAGAAAACCATTTTAGACTACTTTCATCCTTAATAGCTAGCATAAAGTCAGATATAGGCAGTGCCACACTTCTTAATATCAGCTATAGCCAACACTGCATGACATTGTATATTGCAACGATACTGCTGGTACAGTCATAACAAAACTTTAGGTGTAATCTGAGCACAGATACAGTACAATGTTTTCTTCAGTAGGGTAAGATCCATTGAATTGGGCTCCATGTACCATGAAAACATTTTTGAAAAACATTCAGCTGGTGTTCGATCCTGCAATCACTGAGACCGCATCTTGGCCCTATGCTGATGCCTAAAACTTCCTATCAATGTCTGCCTGGCAGGATTTCATAGAGTTCTTATCAGGACATATTGCTTGAAGATGATCAGACCGGATCCTTCTCTGTGACATGTACATCCTCAGAATGGACAGACAGGGTGGGGGTCTGGCCACAAAGATGCTGGTGATCCTTCCAGTCCTTAAGCAAACAAAAAACACTGACTTATTCCAAAGTCAAACGTCAAACTAAATGAAAATAAAATGAACATGAACATTTGCACTGTAAATCAGTAGTACAATCAACCAAATGAAACTTAAAATTTAGGTAACAATAAAGGGATAGTTCATCTTTACCAGAAAACTGCCTATGCAGATAAGGGGCAACTGAAGATAAATACAAACCATGCAGTTCCGACTAAAGTTGAATAATGTTCTTGCTATAGATTTAGTCATATATACATACCTCAAGAAGCCTGATAGGAATATTTTTTTATTTTAATATTTATTCCAGGTACTTATATAGCGCCGTCAATTTAGACAGTGCTTTACATATTTTACTACACATTCACAACAGTCTCTGCCCTAAGGAGCTTACAATCTAAGGTCCCTAACTCACATTCATATAAATAGGGCCAATTTAGATAGGAGCCAATTAACCTACACTCCCACGACATTGATAAGTGAGGTCTAGTCATTACTGCTCACCTCCTTCATCGTAGGAGTTCTCTCAATGCTGAGCTCAGAGCCACTGCATCAGGGAAGAGAAAGAGCATGTGGGGTAGGGCTGTCTTTAACGTGGGGCAAAAGGGCAGCTGTCCCAGGCCCAGTCATTGTTGTGGAACCCAAAGCAGCTGCCCCTTGAGTCTGTGCTGCCCGGAAATTGTTTTCCTTTTGCTTTACAGCTTGCACACTCCTCAGGGTGTGGACACACAACACATGCAGCGTCCTGCCCTATCAGCAGTGGGCCGATGGTAGATGGACAGTGCAAAAGGCCAATGAAAGTAGTGTCCTGTTTCAGATAGCAGGGTTGCCGCAGCAATTGTTGGGGGAACAGAGGGCGGGGCTCCGGAATGCTGCTGTGCCTGGCTGGGGCTGTGCTGACTTGTGTGGGTTGAGCTGGCATTGGGGAAGGAAGGTGACAGCACAGGAGGGGGATGTGCTGGCTGCCTCTGGATACCTGACAACGAACTGCAGCAGAAGGACAAACTTTGTGTAAATCTCACTTGTCCTGTATGACTTCTCTATTCCAGGCCGATTTCTTCTGCAGTCCTTGGGAATTCTGCTCACACTGGGCTCTGTTCCCACCTTCATAGCTGTGTGTGCTCTGCTCACTGCATTCTAGGAGTATTCAGTCTATTGGTGGGTCCCAATTTTTCTTTAGTAGCCTCCCTAGCGGTCTTGTTATGTCCATATTTCTGTGCTCAAAACGCTACATTTTTTTTTGCATGGAAATATGTATTTTTTTTATTGTAGGCCTGTAATTTTTAGGAATCTAGTAAACATCCCAGGTATGTTAAAATCTGAAACACGAAATCATAAATTATAATTTAATAAATAATCATAAAAAAAATAATATAGTAATAATAATAAATGTAATTAAATAATATAATCAAACCAAAAACACTGAAATTTGAAATATAGCGCCAAGTTTGCACATCACTGAGCAAAGTCGCAAAATCGTTTTCAGTGTCGGATGACGAATTTCCCCACGAATCATTATCACTCAATTCTGCAAGTAGTTCTAATTTACTATCGCTGTTCTCTAGCTGGTCTAAAACCGCTTTTGACCTAAAGGGACACTTTTTGGATGCCATGGACATTTCTCAGTTTCCAGGCAGAAAGAACAGTAAAAATGCAGGCAGGGCACAGGACAAAGCACTCGAGACAAAATGTATGTGAAATGCTTTAATACAGTAATGTTATACTGTGTGATTTTAGTGAATTTAGTGAATGTCACTTTTTGTCATTTTTAAATTTCCCGCCGTTCCGTCCCCAGACGTCGCAGGGGACAGAACCCAGAAGACAGACGCCGGCATCCGCTGGAGTATATTGCAGGAGGGACATCGTGGGAGCGCAGGACAAGGTAAGTGCAGAAGAGATCCCGAGAGCAATGCTGCAGGGTATTCCCCAGTTTAGCTCGGGGTTACCGCTTGTGGTACTGAAACTTTACCCCGAGCTACACTCGGGAATACCGCCAGGGAGGTTAAAAGTCTTGCAATCAATAAACATAAAATAATATACCTAAATAAGTAATTATATAAATATTTACACAAAATGAAAATAAATATAGCAAAATCTGCTGTCAGACAAAAGCAAAACTCTCTGAAATTAACATGTCATTACTGGGGGAAATAAATCTTACTACAATTCACATCACTACACCAGACATCAAACCTGAGAGGTCAAAAAACAACCCCGCCCCCATTATGCATGCAGCCCTTCTTCAAAAAGAAGATCTTAACCAACAAAAACTAAGGGAGTGAAAAGAACAGCATAAGAAAAGCTCCCCTCACCCAGAGATGGACAGTTCACCAAAGGCAGGTCTGATATACCTCCACGCCCTTATCAGACGCCCGAACTCCCTGCCCTTCTCAAGACCCTGATTCTTCCCAACCTCACCCAGAATATCGTGCACCACCACCTCTATAGGGAGGACTTTCTTCCGCAGGGTAATCTGACACCGTGCATTCCATGTGAAGTAACGAACAATTATACTAACTAAAAAAAGTGTATCCAAATCAAAGTCCCAGCGAGCTGGGAATGCCCCGTACACCCACTCTGCATAACTCATGCAATAGAGAAAGGGGATGCCCAGAACCCTCCCCACCCTTTTATACACCTCTATGTTAAAGGGACACTGAAGCAGAAAGTGGTCCATAGACTCCACTTTACCAACACACTCTGCTCTAGGACAATCCCAATCATCCACAGGGCGGGGCTTCAGGTTCCCTTTTACATAGAGCCTTCCATGGAAAGCGAGCCAGGCTTGATCCCTAAACTTCAAAGGGATTCTCTCCAGGTTAATTAAACGCAATCCCTCCCTCATTACAGAGCCAAGCAATCCTTTAAGGTCAGTGACACACTGAAAGCATAAGCCAAAATCCTCTCACCCAGAAGCTTCCTGGGAAGGGACCTGATATCCTCCACTGTCACCTGCCACTGCTGAAGTATTTTCAGACATGGGGCAACATAAGCCAGAAGCTTGCCATATCGGACTCTCAGACTTTTCACTGGCCCGCCATCTTCCCAGCAACGCAGAAAATTGGTGGGTCTCCTCACCACCACAGTCCATGGTGTGCATATAGTGAGGAGATGATGTGCTGTAACCTTCAGCAACCAATCTGTGAGCAGTAAGGATGGGCAGTAAACTTTAGCAACCAATCAGTGAGTGTGGACCTGTTCTTTATGTTTATGTTATTACAGGATAAGTTCACCTCTTGTCATAAAATAATAAATGCACATTTTTTTAGCAGGTAAAAAAATGTGCATTTATTATATTTTGTTGCAGGAGCCTGTAAAGCATTGCACCAACCATCAGTAGATCACTGGTGCCATGCACGTCTCCTGCAGACCTGTCAGTATATCTGCTTGCCCATATGGGATGTACAGGCAAGCAGATTTGCTAACAGAAAGAATCAATTAGCCACTTGCCTACTGGGCACTTCTATCCCCTTCCTGTGTAATGAAATTTTATAATTAAATTACCTAATTACATTTTGAGGACACATTAGGTGTAGATTCATTATTACTGCTTAGTAGTTGTAAACAGAAACTGTAGAATTGATTAAAGCCAAACTCTGGGCTTTTGTTTTTTAAAGGACCCCAGGCAGAGGTTACAGCGGAAACTAAAGTTCTGCTATTATACAATGTGAGCACGCATGCATTTTATTGCAGAAGAGGCATACAATGTCTCTTCTACAATAAAACATACCTTCCTGCCTGTTCACAGTGACCCCCAGCCTGTAAACTGAGCTGCATATGCACAGCTCAGCTTAAGGTGACCATCCTGATCCTGTGTGCTTGTATGGCATGTAGAACAGTGACTTCATCTCGCGCAGACCAGTAAAGATAGTTGAAACCTGGCACCGGTGGGGGAGCGTTGGTAAGGTGAGTATCTTCCCACCCGAAAAAAAAAATAAAAAGCTTGAGCTGCAATACTCACCCATGAATCCAGAGCTGTACTCCACACGTATTTCTTCTCCATCACAAGACGTACTCACTCTTCCAAGGAAGGACTGTGAATACAGGGCGTCATGGCACCACCCTTTAAGCATGGCACCCTGCATTCACAATGTATTGCTGCAGAGAGTGGAGCTAATGCCAACATGTTAATACTTCAGTCTGCAAGAGGACTGTGAGCTATAGCACTTGTGTAAATACACCACTATGAAAAGCTGAGGTGTGAAGGGGGCCCAAAGGATTTGTTAATCAATGCATAATTGGGGTATTTTATATCTCCCTTCACTTTAAACCTACGTGCTAATTGAATTTCACATCCAATATATATATATATGTATTCATTCATGTTAAAGTGTTTGTAAAGTCTCAATTTTATTTTTTAGAATTGCACAGAGCAGCCCCAATCCTCCTTTTCTGGGGTCCCCCACCGGCTTTCCTGGCTATTCCTCTTCTCAGTGTACCACTTCCTATTGTGGTGCACTTGTGGGCTTGATCCTGAGCCGTGCTGCTGGCTTCAAAGACAGACAGCACAGCGTGGCCTGGTCCCCCGCTCCCTCGCCACAGGATTTGACTGACAGCAGTGGGAACCAATGGCTCCCGCTGCCTCAGCAAAGCCTGTGAGAGTGGGGAGAGCTGTTACAGACAGGCACAGTGCTGGATCAAGTGAGGACTCAAGTAAGTATGAGGGGTTGGGTGAGGGGGTGATACTAGTACTTAACCACTTCATGTCCAGACACTTTTACCCCCTTCTTGCCCAGGCCAATTTTCAGCTTTCAGCGCTATCGCAGTTTGAATGACAATTGCGCGGTAATGCAACATTGTACCCATATGAAATTGTTATAATTTTTTTTTCACACAAATAGAGCTTTCTTTTGGTGGTATTTAATCGCCACTGGGTGTTTTATTGTTTGCACTATAAACAAAAACAAAGCAAAACATTTGAAAAAATAAAAGATTTTCTTTGTTTTCTATTATAAAATTTTGCAAACAGGTAAGTTTTCTCCATCCACTGATGTGCGTTGATGAGGCTGTACTGATAGGCAGCACTGATGGGCACTGATAGGCAGCACTGATGGGCACTGATGAGGTGGCATGAATAATCAGCACTGATGGGCATTGATAGGAGGCAGTGATAGGCGGCATTGATAGGTGACACTGATAGACGGCACTGATGGGCAGCACTGATGGGTAGCACTGATGGGTGGCACTGCAGGGCACAGGTGGACGGCACTGATGGGCACTGATCATCAGGGCACTGAACATCAGTGCCCTGATGATCAGTGTCGATCCCTTCGCTGACAATTGCTGGTTCTTGGCAGTACTTTCCTCACACTGTGACAGCGTGAGGAAAGTGCAGCTGACAAGCGGCAGCTGTATTTACCCAGTGATTGCTATGTCATTGGACACAGCTGATCACGTGGTAAAAAAGGCTGCCGTGATTGGCCGTTTACCATATCACGTGATCAGCTGTGTCCGTCCGTGGCGATCATCGGGGGCACACAGGGGGACGTGTTCTGGAATGATGTCCATGGACGTCGTCCCAGAACTACACAAACGCGCTGTAGCCGTCCCTGGGCTATAGCGCGGTTGGGAACTGGTTAACTACCACGGTGCTTCACAACGTGTGTGTGTTTGTTTCTTGGGATGTTTGGGGTGGAGAGCAAAATTGCATTGGGGGTAGGGGGCCCAAAAATGTTTGCCCAGGGTCCAATCCATATTAAAGATGATGTGATGTGAGGGGGTTTGAATCGGAGAAAAAAAACTCTCTTCTTTCATAGCAGAGGTGAGCAGTAATGACTAAGCCTCGCTTAGCAAAGTGCTAGCAATGTCCTGAGGGTATTCCAGTCAGTCTTCAGGATGTATGTAAATAACCTATGCCTATAGCAAGGGCATTATTCAACTTAAGTCAAAGCTGCAGGTTTTTTTTTATCTACAAACACCCCTTACCTGCATAGACAGTTTTTTTTTTAAAGCTGAACTAACCCTTTTAAAAATCACGTGTAGCACTCACTCCTTTAGAGGTCGCTGAGTTTGATTGGGTCCCCCTAAGCTCTGCAAGGCAAGACAACACACATTTCCCACATTTTCACACAAAGAGTCAGTAAAACAGTCCTTGAGCTGTTTTTTGTTGTTTTTATTGAGGGGTTAACAACTTGGATGGGGTCTAGGGGTATATGGGATGCCCAAGGAGCTGCAAACGTGAAGACAAACTTCTTAGCAAACTGTACACCATACAAAAATGTGGATCAACAAAACAGCACTATCTCATTAAGAAGCACTGAAGTCCCCTTGATGTACCGCCTCAGATCCCAGATGAATCTTTCTTCCTTCACCCAGCTGCACTGAGGGTATCCCTGGGCAAAGAATTCCAAGATCTGCCACTTAAGTAGTCCTGGATGAAAACTAGTTGGGTCTTGCACCTGATTGCACCCTTTATCTTACCCAAGGGGTGCAGAAGTACTCACACTGTCCTGTCCTATTAGCTTGGTGGGTTGCAGTTGCTTTCAGGTCTTACGCTGGGCTGGCTCCTTCCCTGCTAATAGGATTGTCCTCCCTAGGAGACTTGGCACAGTGGAGATCCTTTTGTCCAGCAACCAACCTGTAGGTAGGCCCCCAATCCCTGGACCCCCCCTCTTAGTATCCACTCTCCAGCACCTTCCTTCAGTCTATCTTCCACCCGACTCTCCTTGCTGCACAGGCTCTGTCATATTTAAGGGTTACCCTTGGCCACCATTCTTGGCCTCTTGCTTGTGGATCGTCCAAGTTCCCCTAAACATGCAAACATGGGCCTCCTCCCCTCCTCTGTCCCCTCCCAAAAAGGGCCAGAGGTTTCTGGAAGGGTGGGAGGGCTCCAGAAGCCCTGACCGTAGAGCCTCCCAGCCTGTTCTGAGGTGAACCTGTTACCTCACCCCCAAGCTGACTTATCCCAGGCTTCTACCAAGCCTCTAACTAGCTAAGCTAGAGGGTGCTACATATGTTAGTACTAAGGCATGTAAGGTTTCTTTTGCTATATCGTGAAACAGATGTATTTTCCACCCACCACAAAAACCACCACGTTAGACTTTCAAACACCTCCCCTCTTTCCTTGTTTATGACTGGCTGCAGTTGCTCATCTGCCAAAAATACTCTCTCAGAACAAAAAGTTGAACTGGTCCTGACATTTGCACCACCATTATCCAAAAGCACCTTTGTAGGAAACAGAATGACAGTTGTATAATGTAATGTCAAACAGTCTTACTGAAATTAATCGCATTGTGGGTCTTAGATTTTTAAAGGTTTAATGTAGAAGAGATAAAATGCTTAGTCTTGCAAAATGAATACTCATTTGATTTCGTTTTTCAAAACTAGCTAAATGCACATGACTCTGGTACACTATATACACACCCATCTTCCCCAGTATATCATTCAATGTAAAATATATTGCTAAGTGTTTTTGCACTTCATAATTCATCAGTGCTCTTTGCATTGCATCCCTATATCAGCTCAATTAGACGTCTTGTAATTCTTTTATCAGGTAAATGTCCCACACAGTGGCACACATACTATATCAAGCAGCTAGGCTCATAGATGTATGCAAGATTTATCTTACCTTGCGCTGGCAGAAGATGGAGCAGTAATTTACTTTGTGGCATCCAGTACATTCATTAAGGGCTTCTCTTCCGCAGTTAACACAGGACTGCTAAATGCAGAGCAAGCCAAAAGAGTTAGAATGCCAGAGATACAATGTTATATGGGCATCCTAAAACCATCATACCTATGCCTGATTTAATAAGTTACAAAAACCACCCAGTAGCCCAGCTATGGACAGTAGGTTTCATAGGGGGAGATTTACTAAAACTGGGGCTTTCAGAATCTGTTGCAGCTGTGCATGGTAGCCAATCAGCTTCTAATTTCAGCTTGTTCAATTAAGCTTTGGCAATAAAACTTGGAAGGTGTTTGGTTTCTATGCAAAGTTGCACCAAATTTTGTACTCACCAGTTTTAGTAAATACAACCCATAGTCTCATAGACTCTAAACCAATCCCATCAGGTGGACAACATAGTCTTGTCTTTTATCTGCATACTATAGTTATGTCTGTAGGTTAATTATTATTATTATTATTATTATTATTATTATTATACAGTATTTATAAAGCGCCAATAGTTTGCTCAGCGCTGTACATTATAAAGGGGGACAGACCATGTGACAGAACAATACCAATACAATGCAAAACATGAGGGGATCGAGGGCCCTGCTCTTTCAAGCTTACAATCTAGGAGGGAGGGTTAATAGTTGGCGATCTGTCTTCCCGCTAATCTAAATAAATAAATCAACACAAGCCAACATTTCAAATAGTAAGGAGAAGACTACAGAGCAGACCCTAAAATAATTTTCATGTCTTAGGGGTCGATGGCCATACAGACAGCAGAAAGATCAAAGATCATTGGTGTCCTGCAGCTGGCTTTGCCAAGTGGCACTGGTCCTGAAACTATGCAGGCAACATCAATCATAATAGCTGCTTCCATCAGGACCGCCTCACCCAAGTGTTTTGCTTTGAGAAAAAGTCCTTCTGCTTTGCAGGAAAGAAAATCAAGAATACCCTTATGGAAGGTATGAAGAAATACACAAAAGTAGAGTCCTAAGGGAGTGAGGGGGATCCCTAACTTTGAAGAGTGACATTCCCATCCAGCTCTGAATCCAATTAAAGGGACACAAGCCTTATATGACCTCACTTAACGGTTTGGTCCTATATACCAGGTGAGAGCACAGCCTGTGAAGGTGCAGATTTCATTGATATCACAACTTATTATTGGTGGATTGCACACAAATCATTTCTGTTACATCACCTGAAGGAGTGTGAAGTCATGGATTGAATAAGGACATTTTTTGCTGCAATAGTGTTATTGTAATTTTACACAGAATTTGTTTTGGATTGAACTTTGGTTTTGTCATCACATATTTTGATTGTCAGTGGAGCATGACGCTATTATATATTTTTGGATATGCTATCACATGTTGGTATGAGTATGTGTAATGTGTAGGCAACCTACTAATTTTATTTTAATTTATTAATATTCACAGCACATGATTGGTTTAACACATTAAGAGACTTATTTTCATACCATAGTAGCTCACAAGATCTCACTCATTAACCCCTTGGGGCCGGCGCCTCCCGGCCCTTTAAGGGTTTCAGAAGCTGTGAGGCGGGGCAGGGTTTTAAGGTCACGTGACCGCCGTGATTCGCCGACATGGCAGTCATATGATCGGGAAAGGTCCTGATTGATAGAGGAGATTGGGACCTTTCCATGAGTACCGGACATGTGTGCTAGGAGCACGCAGGGTGCGCGCTCTCAACACATATGTTTTTCTTAATTGCACGCAAATGTGCAGCCGCTCAACGTCAAGGCCCAGAAGCCAGGAGGCCGCACATTTGCGTTACGGCTGGCACGAAGAGGTTAAGAATGCAGGCAACATCAGCCATAGCCCAGGGAACCCCTGGTAACCTGTGGAGGAACCTTAGGCTTTCACCTAATCCTGGTTAGGAATGTTGGCTGTAGAGGTTTATCTTCTAATTTCAGGTACTGAAATTCTTTCTCACCTCTCCTTCTTACACCTCAAACCTGTTATCTTGCAATTCCCTGGATTAGGCTCCACTGATACTTCAGCCCAGGGCAGGATCTAGCCTGTCTGATCTGAGGGTGCAGTAATAAAGAGAGAAAAGTCAGGGGGGTCATACTGTCAATTGGTGCATAGGAGCTTCGGTGCATTATTTGGTGGAGAACCAATGGATTGGGAGCTCATATCAGCCCGTGGGTCAGGGGCAGCAGTGCCTGCTTTGCAAAATTGCAACGTTAGCCAAAGAAAGCACACTTCTATGTGTGCAGAGACTTTTGATGTCTCTCCAGAGTCCAGTCCTTGTCCCTTCCATTTTCCACCTCTCTATAGCCTCTGCAGCCTCCCTTCACTATTTTTCTGTCTCCACCAAAGTACAGCCCTATTAAATCAAAATCCCCACCCCCCATTCTTCTGTTGCTCCAAGGTACAGCCTCAAATCAACACCCCCTTCCCCCCCATTTTGTCTACTCAAAATCCAGCCCTTCCCTGTTTTTCTGGCTCTTCAAAGTCCAGACCCAATTTTCTGTTTTTCCACAGCTCGGCTCCCACTTGTTTTTCTGTCTCTCCAAATCCAGCCCCCCCCCCCCCCCCCCCCCATTTTTTTGTCTCTTCAAAGTCCATATCCAGCATCCTTGTATTTCTGTCTCAGCAAAGTCCAGCCACCTATTTTTGACTCTAGCCTTAAAGTCCAGCCCTCCCCTGTTTTTCAGTCTCTACAAAGTCCAGTCCCCCTCTCCCTATTTTTCTTTCTCTTCAAAGTCTAGCCCCTATTTTTTACTGTAGCCCCAATATCCAGTCCTCCCCTGTTTTTCTGCCTTTCCAAAGTCCAGTCCCCATTTTTCTGTTTCTCCACAGTTCGACCCCCACCTGTTTTTCTGTCTCTCCAAATCAATCCCTCCCCCCCCATTTTTTTGTCTCTCCAAAGTCCATATCCAGCTTCCCTGTGTTTTTGTCTCTCCAAAGTCCAGTCCCCTTCCCCCTATTTTTTTTGTCTCTCCAAAGTCTAGCCCCCTATTTTTGACTCTAGCCTTAAAATCCAGCCCTCCCTTGTTTTTCTGTATTTCCAAGGTCCAGCCCCATTTTTACGTTTCTCCACAGTTTGGCCTCCACCTGTTTTTCTGTCTCTACGAATCCAGCCCACCTATTTTTTTTGTTTCTTCCAAGTCCAAAACAGCTTCCCTGTTTTTCTGTCTTTCCAAAGTCCAGCCCCCTCCCCCTATTTTTGTGTCTCTCCAAAGTCCAGCCCCCTTCCCCCTATTTTCTGTCTCTCCAAAGTCCAGCCCCCTGCCCCTATTTTTCTGTCGCCAAAGTCCAGCCCCCTTCCCCTATTTTTGTGTCTCTCCAAAGTCTAGCCCCCTTCCCCCTATTTTCTGTCTCTCCAAAGTCCAGCCCCCTGCCCCTATTTTTCTGTCTCTCCAAAGTCCAGCCCCCTGCCCCTATTTTTCTGTTGCTCCAAAGTCCAGCCCCCTTCCCCCTATTTTTGTGTCTCACCAAAGTCCAGCCCCCTTGCCCCTATTTTCTGTCTCTCCAAAGTCCAGCCCCCTGCCCCTATTTTTCTGTCGCTCCAAAGTCCAGCCCCCTGCCCCTATTTTTGTGTCTCTCCAAAGTCCAGCCCCCTGCCCCTATTTTTGTGTCTCTCCAAAGTCCAGCCCCCTTCCCCCTATTTTTCTGTCTCTCCAAAGTCCAGCCCCCTGCCCCTATTTTTCTGTCGCTCCAAAGTCCAGCCCCCTGCCCCTATTTTTGTGTCTCTCCAAAGTCCAGCCCCCTGCCCCTATTTTTCTGTCGCTCCAAAGTCCAGCCCCTTCCCCCTATTTTCTGTCTCTCCAAAGTCCAGCCCCCTTCCCCCTTTTTTTGTGTCTCTCCAAAGTCCAGCCCCCTTCCCCCTATTTTCTGTCTCTCCAAAGTCCAGCCCCCTTCCCCCTATTTTCTGTCTCTCCAAAGTCCAGCCCCTGCCCCTATTTTTCTGTCGCTTCAAAGTCCAGCCCCCTTCCCCCTAGTCCAGCCCCCTTTTTTGTGTCTCTCCAAAGTCCAGCCCCCTTCCCCCTATTTTTGTGTCTCTCCAAAGTCCAGCCCCCTTCCCCCTATTTTTGTGTCTCTCCAAAGTCCAGCCCCCTTCCCCCTATTTTCTGTCTCTCCAAAGTCCAGCCCCCTGCCCCTATTTTTGTGTCTCTCCAAAGTCCAGCCCCCTGCCCCTATTTTTTTTGTGCCCCCTGCCCCTATTTTTGTGTCTCTCCAAAGTCCAGCCCCCTGCCCCATTTTTGTGTCTCTCCAAAAGTCCCCTTCCCCCTATTTTCTGTCTCTCCAAAGTCCAGCCCCCTTCCCCCTATTTTCTGTCTCTCCAAAGTCCAGGCTCCCAACATTTTCTGTCTCCCCACATTTCAGCCCACCCTTATTTTCTGCCTCACAGCAACAATAGTGCAGCTACAATAGACAGCTCTGTGCTGGGAGTTAGGAGAAGTGTGCAAAGCAGGTTGTATCTGGGAGGACTTGGGGGGCCTAGTGTGGCAGGGGAGAGAGAAGTAGCTTGCAGCATCAAGCACAGTGTCAATGGCAGCCTGGAGGTGTAGATCTGAAATCTGGGGGGGGCTCACAGCCCATCCTATCAACCCCCTTGATCTGGTCCTGCTTTAACAGTGCTTCAACCTTTTCCCTCTAACATCTCTGGCATCTATCAGAGACCAAAGTTTCTAGTTATGCGCTTTTCTAGTTATTCCATTTCTACTATGGCTTTCTGACCACTGCTCTGGCCCCCAGAAGGCACTGATGTTTGCTCTCTACACTCTATACATCTGTCACCAGCCAAACACCAAATGTTCTTCCCTGTTCTATCCATATTTCCTCTCTCACAATCACCCATGGTTATCCTAAATGTCCAGTTTCTCCTCTGAACCTTCCAGTATCTTCTGGTGTTTCTCTTTGTCCTCCAATCCATTACCTGTGCTCACATCCACATGTCCTGTTTAGCTCTTTCCCTATCTTGTGTAATCATTGGTTTGGCAGTTCAGGTAAAGATAGCTGAGTTGACACAGTTTTTATCCAGTTAGACACATGTACTGTAACTATGGGTGAAAGAAATTTGAGAGAAGCTGATGCCGCATTTGTCACCTGTAGCTCTTTGTCTCTTGAGCTACTCCTGTGTAAAACCTAATGCTTAATGCACTGAAACTCTCATACTGGGAATAAACTTTTCCATCCCCCTTCCTGGAGTCAGTGACAATAGATGTATATAAGCTGACATAGTCAAATACTCTAATAATAATTTACAGACGTTTATACATTTATCAGTTAGGAAAAGGTTCACAAGGTACACAAGAATAGTACTTGTACTATCCATTAAAAGTGCATAACTAGAAAAGTAAGCAAAATGAGACAAACAAACAATGTATAAAACAACACTAATGAATAAAATGAATAGAGCAGGCAGAAGACTAAGGGTGGAGGAAAGAGTGTGAAGATGTGGAAGTAAAAATTCCTCAAAATAGCAAGACTTAATGATATGCAGAGTGAGAGAGGAGGGATGTGTGACTCTGTGTGAAGATACATTCATAAACCTGTCACACTTCAAGTGTTTTCCTGTGTGAATGTATAATATATATAGGACACACGCATTCTAAAGATAGTACTGTGCATTAATATTCAAAAACGTGTGTTTTCACGTGTAATTTTTCTGTGGAAATACAAATTTTCACATATATAGAACAGGCAGACGTCATGGTGTAGAACCCAGGGGTCCTACTAGAGAATAAAATGTCACAATTTAATTTTTTTACTGCAGAACATGCCATTCTCTAGAGACAGCGGAGGAAGAACAGGGCGGAGGGTAGAAAAGTGAAATATAGGCCTTACCCTAAGTAATATCTCATGCTTCCCATCAATTTCTTCCGTCTGCTGAAACAAATGACTTGGAAACTGCATGGAAATAAATGTTAATATAATAAATAAGGTTAAATGGTATAGCACATTAGATACTGCCCTACAGAATCTTTTACCACTATGAAATATTTGAATTCTACCTTCAGTTACTTAGCTAAATGCAATTATGATTGCACCTATGCTTTGCATCTATGTTTTGCCATTGGAGATCAAAGAGGAGAGCAGAAGAATGGGTGGTGAGACAGGACAGTATAAACACTTTTCTATTGCAGGTTGTGTATTTTTTTTCACTTTCCATAGGTTTTTTATTATTTTTTTAGTAAAGTACAAATACCTCACCTAAGCAGAAGGGAGGAGAAAAGAACATATAACAATTCCAACAACAGAGGCTTCTAGGCACACACCAGTGTAACAAGCAGAAGAAAAGGCACATCAATAAAGTCCTGACATAGCATAAAAGGCCCAGCACATTCAGCCAATAAACTCAACAAAAGAAAAGAAAAAGGAAAAAAAAAGGGGGGTAAAGAGAAAAAAAAAAAGAAAAGAAAGAAAAAAAGGGGGGGGGGAAGGAAGTGTGCTCTCATCTAATCTCAGACAAGTAGACTGTCTGACTGTCTGAATCACAGGGATTCCGACAGATATCTGATCCATGGGTCCCAGGTCCTTTCAAAGAGGGTCATCTTATCTTGTAGGATCCCTGACAGGTGTTCATTTGTCATGATCCATGTCAACTTGGCCCTCAAAAGATAAAATGGAATCACAGGAGACTTCCAAGACCGTGCAATGGAAATTCTAGCTGCCGTAAAAATAAAAGTTATCATTGTCGCACTGGTCTCAGCGTCCCCTCCACTGGGCTTTTCAGTAGGACCTGTTGAGGGCTTTTATTGAGATTAATTTGGGTGAGAGAATAGACAAACCTATATGTGCGTATCCAGTTGTTTTTTTTTTCAATAAGGGACATGAGTCACTGCCAGAGCCATTTTTGCAAACTCAAACATTTGGGGGGTGGGGGGGGGGGTGAGGGGGTCTCTGGGTAACTGCATTTATCTGCTACCTCCACTCTTAACCAGACAAACGCATTGACTCCTGCTGTTCTTCTCTGGGTAACTGCATTTATCTGCTACCTCCACTCTTAACCAGACAAACGCATTGACTCCTGTTAAATTTATCAACAAATGTTGTAATCTGTTGTATCTGTTGACTTGTCCTCACCTCTAGGCGCACTCAGGTTTATGACTGTGGCCTGGTTCCTAAGAAACATCCCCCCCTATTCATGTGAGCCTTATCAGCTTCTAATTGGGGCGGAGTTGAATGCTCATTTGAGCATCTCCCTATAAATTTAGTTCAGCTCATGGGGGAGATCTCTGATGGGGGGCACAGTCTCTGATGGGGGTGCTGCTTATGATGGAGTGCGGCTTTGAATGAGTGCAGAGCAGTTAAACACAGCAGAGTGCGGCTTGAATGAGTGCAGAGCAGTTAAACACAGCATGAGTGCGGCTTTGAATGAGTGCAGAGCAGTTAAACACAGCAGTGAGTGCGGCTTTGAATGAGTGCAGAGCAGTTAAACACAGCAATGAGTGCGGCTTTGAATGAGTGCAGAGCAGTTAAACACAGCAGTTGAACTAAAGCAGGAGAACTTAAGCAGCAGGAAGACACAACAACAGCAAGAAACTCTACTGCATGCTGGACAGACTGCAAGGAAACACCCTGGGAAATATCTTTTACATACCTGAGTCCCACTCAGTGTACCTTTTATATAATACGCCCCTCTTCTCCTCTTCATATTACTATCCTCTGTTCCCAAATCTCATTTCTTTACCCCTCTGCTCCACCCCAAAACTTGTACATCTACCCCTCATTGCTATCATCTCCCTACTATTGCTTTCATCACCTCCCCAAAATGCCTCTTCCACTCCTCCTTCTCATTTTCCTCTCCTCTGTTCCCAAAATCCATTCACTATATCCCTCTGCTCCTCCCAAACATTTGTATATTGTGCCCTCACTGCTTCCCTCACCCCTCTATGGCACCTACCACCTCCTCCTATTACTCCTCTCTCCCCCCACTGACCCGAACACCTCCACTAGTAGTTTCTCACGCTCCTGCACATCCCGCTCCCATGCCACCTTTCTCACCCTTCTCCTCCTCATAACCGCGGGGGACATCTCCCCGAATCCTGGCCCTCCACCACCTCCCTCACCCGCACAAAACCCTCCCGCCTCCACGTCCTGCCGCAACCCCCGCAACTTAGTATCTGTCCCCCTGCTCCCTAAAATCTCCCCCCCGTTTTCATGTGCACTCCTGAACGCCCGATCGGTGTGCAACAAGCTTACCGCCATCCACGACCTCTTTGTTTCCCGCTCCCTCAACCTCCTAGCGATTACGGAAACCTGGATCCAGCCCACTGACTCTACCTCCCCTGCTGCACTCTCCTACGGCGGTCTCACCTGGACCCACTCACCCAGGCCCAACGGTCGTAAAGGTGGGGGGGTTGGCCTGCTCCTGTCACCGCTGAGCACCTTCCGAGTCCTCCCAAACCCCCCCTCCCTATCCTTCTCCTCCTTCGAGGCCCACTGCGTCCGACTATTCTCCCCAACCCCCCTGAAGATTGCTGTGATATACCGGCCTCCTGGATCCATACCCCGCTTCCTGGAAGACTTCTCCTCCTGGCTACCCTTCTTCCTCTCCTCTGAGCTACCCACTATCATCCTTGGGGATTTCAACATCCCTGTCAACCTCGACAACCCGGACACAGCCCGTCTCCTCCACTTAACCTCCTCCTTTGCACTTGCACAGTGCATACAATCCACCACCCACTCCGACGGTAATATCCTTGATCTTGTCTTCTCCAACCGCTGCGCTCCCCACAACCTCACTAACACCCCCTTCCCTCTCTCTGACCACAACCTGATTACCTTCTCTATCTCCTCATCCTCCAACGCCTACCCCTCCAAATGTCACACTACTACCAGCCGTAACCTCCGCAACCTTAACCCTGCCTCCCTCCACTCCGCAGTTGATCAACTCCATGACCGCATCCTCCCCCTGTCCTGCCCCGACTTGGCTATGACCGCCTACAACAATGCGCTGTCAACAGCCCTTGACTCACTAGCGCCTTTAACCACACGCAACATCAGACCCCGACCGCTCCAGCCCTGGCAGACTGATCACACCAAAACCCTCAAACGACACAGTCGTGCCCTGGAGCGACTATGGCGCAAAACCAAATCCCAACAAGCCTTCACCCGATACAAATCTGCCTTCCCACCACCTACACCTCCTCCCTCCATACTGCCAAACAAGCCTACTTCCTGACCCTCATCAAGGCCCTCTCCTCCAATCCTCGCCGACTCTTCTCCACCTTCAACTCTCTACTCTCGCCCCCCCCACCTCCACCCAGCACCTCACTCACTGCCCTTGAGATTGCCAATCACTTCAAAAACAAGATTGACACAATTCGCAAGGACATTGCCGCAACTCACACGCCTTCTCAACCCGTCCCCTCTCACACACAGCTACCCCCTCATCCCCCCTCCCCCTCGACATAACCCACAGGGACTTCGTCGCTGCTCAAACTCCCTCCAACCCCCTTCCCCCTCACTCAGCTACCCCCTCTACACCCCTCTCCCACGGCCCCACCACTGCTCTGACCTCCTCTCCACCCCACCCTACATTCCTCATACTGAAGCCCCCAACACTCCGCACCTTTGACCTTACTACCATCGAAGAAGTCTCCAAGATCCTCTCTGATGCCCGCCTCACCACCTGCCCCCTTGACCCTATCCCCTCACAACTCCTACAACCTCCCTCCCCCTCCATCCTACGCTCCCTCACCCACATCTTCAATCTCTCCCTCTCCTCCGGCACTTTCCCTTCCCCTCTAAAACATGCACACATCACCCCCATACTTAAAAAGCCCTCCCTGGACCCCAATGACCCGAACAACCTCAGACCCATCTCCCTGCTCCCATTTACATCTAAACTCCTCGAGCGCCTAGTCTACGCCCGCCTATGCTCTCTCACCTCAACGACAACAACCTCCTCGATCCCCTACAGTCCGGCTTCCGTCCCCTACACTCCACCGAAACTGCCTTACTCAAACTCTCCAACGACCTGCTAACCGCCAAAGCTAATGGCCACTATTCAGTGCTCCTACTCCTTGACCTCTCTGCGGCCTTTGACACAGTCGACCACCCCCTCCTCCTCAAAAAACTACACTCCCTCGGCCTCAGAGATTCTGCTCTCTCCTGGCTCTCATCCTACCTGTCACAACGCTCTTTCAGCGTTACCTATAATGCCACCACCACCCCTCTCACTCCCCCTCTCTGTTGGGGTCCCTCAAGGCTCTGTCCTCGGGCCCCTTCTCTTCTCCATCTACACCTCCTCCCTTGGCCAACTCATACACTCTCACGGCTTCAACTACCACCTCTATGCCGACGACACACAAATCTATCTCTCAACCCCCCACCTCACCCCCTCGGTCTCCGCCCGAATCACACCTGTTGAGCGACATATCAGACTGGATGTCGCTCCACTTCCTTAAACTGAACCTCTCCAAAACCGAGTTTCTTGTCTTCCCTCCAGCCCGGACACCACCCCCCATTGACTTCTCCATCATGTCCAACAACGCCACCATCAAACCCGCCCCGCAGGCCAGAGTACTTGGTGTCATTTTGGACTCCAACCTATCCTTCCAGCCCCAAGTCCAATCTTTAACAAACTCGTGCAGACTCCACCTCCGCAACATCGCCAAAATCCGCACGTTCCTAACTCCAGAAACCACTAAACAGCTCATCCACTCCCTCATCATATCACGACTCGACTACTGCAACTCCCTCCTCACTGGCCTGCCTCGCCGCTGGCTATCCCCGCTTCAGTCCATCCTGAATACGGCTGCCAGACTCATTCACCTTTCCAACCGCTCCGTTTCCGCCACCCCCCTCTGCCAATCCCTCCACTGGCTTCCGATTGCGCAACGGATCAAATTCAAAATCCTAACGCTGACGTACAAAGCTGTCCACCATACTGCCCCGAACTACATCACTGACCTAATATCCAAGTACCACCCAGCACGCACACTCCGCTCCTCACAAGACCTCCTTCTCTCTAGTTCCCTGGTCTCCTCCTCCCATGCCCGCCTCCAGGACTTCTCCAGGGTGTCACCCATCCTCTGGAACTCCCTGCCCCAACCCATCAGATTATCACCTACTCTCCTCTCCTTTAGGCGCACCCTGAAAACCCATCTCTTCAGGGAAGCCTACCCCGCCCCCTGCTAACTTGCCGACCTCCTCCACTCTTCCTACCACTCCATCCCCCACAGCTATCTCCTCCTGTGCCACCATCCCCTCCCTCCTAGATTGTAAGCTTGAAAGAGCAGGGCCCTCGATCCCCTCATGTTTTGCATTGTATTGGTATTGTTCTGTCACATGTTCTGTCCCCCTTTGTAATGTACAGCGCTGAGCGAACTATTGGCGCTTTATAAATACTGTATATAAATAATCACATAGGGGCATTAAGTCTGCTATGTGATGCATTTTTTGGCGACCAGTTCTCTTAAATGAAACATCAGAGGTCTAAAAGACCCTTGATACCTCACTTGCCCTCCAATGAAACTAATGGAGTGCAGATGACACCAGGACCCGGAAGTGATGTTTTACATGTAGCTTCTGGGTCAGCAGCAGGAAGGGGAGATCAGCAATTGGACATGGCGGGTGCACTTGGGGGGGCATCAGTTACTGGGTGTGTGTAAAGGTTGTAGCAGCTGCACAACCTCCGGATCTTTTCCATCAGACACCCAACAAGGGTCTTGTCAGATTTTTACACATAAGATCCTTTGATTGTGAATACTGTTTTTTCTGCTAATAAGTCACAGGGGAGACATTTCTGTTGTCTTGCAGTACTAAACAAGGGATGTAGCAGCATGATATTCGCAATGCCATCACCCCTTAATGTGTATTGATTCTTACACATAAAGGCAAAACTCCACTACTCACATATCTATTCTACTACTGTTGGCTGAATCCGGACACACACGGGGACACACACCCACGGACACACACACACACACACACACACACACACACACACACACACACACACACACACGGACACACACACACAGGGTTACAACCTCTGACCCTTATTATGTACAGGCAAAATAAATAATATATTGCAGGTCAGACTCTTAATTCATAATGACGGTGTTCGAGCACAGGATCTAATTTTTTTTTTTTTTTTTTTTTTTTAACAATTGGCTTTTATTCACAAAGAAAAAGCATAACATATGAAAAGGATCTTTTTATGTTTCACTTTACATTTGTTTATTACTCAAATTACATTCTTTATGATATTTCATTTATTTTATTTCAAGAAGGTAAAATGAAGCCCAAAGGAAATGCCATTAAAATAGTGCTTAAAGCTAAATTATTATTGACTTTACTTACCTGTAATGAACTATATATCAAGTTTTGCAGGCAGCAAAGTTGCCAGTCCTCCTTCTGTCTTTGAACCTCCAGTGCTGAAATTGTTAATTTGCAGTGAAGATGGTCCGATGAGGACCTGCACCCTCTGCTTCCATTGAGAAAAGTTTCTTTATAACTTATACTGCATGTAACACAATCTCTGAATGGGGGAGATTTGGATGAATAACAGGAAACTCTCCTACATTTAAAGATTGGGTCACATGCAGTGTAGACTAGCACAGACTTTTCTGGGTGCAGGAGGAGGGTGGAGGAAGCAAGTCCCCATCACACAATCTTCATGCTAGACCCAAAGTAATTAACTATTACAGTGCTGGATCAGAGATAAGAAGAGGGCCGGCAACCCTGCGCAGAAGATTTCTATAAGATCCTGTTGCCTGCACAGCATGTGGCATACTTCATTACTGGTAATTGATGTTATTAAAGCTTTTTTTTTCCCCTAAACTTCAGTAGACCCAGTAAAAATAATTAGGACAGTATTAAAAAGAACAAAAAAATAAATAAATAAAACTGGACAGCAGTTGTCAATCTGCAGGTAGGTTAGTGTTAGACACATTCGCTGATTAAGGCCTCGTTCACACCATATGTGCAGAAAAACTGATGGAACTGACAAGCAGGATTCACTTGCACAGCCATCAGTTTACATCAATTTTCATGCGCATTTCAATTAATTTTATACACGTTGCAGATTCCTGTGCAGAAAAAAATCTGCATGTGATACTAGTGTTATGGTGTGAACAGGGCACATAGAGAACAATTTATTTTGTTGTGCCCTGGCAGAACGCATGCAGAAATACTGACATCTTTGCGCCATGGTGTGAACAAGCCCTTAGGGTTCATTCAGACCATACATACATGCATGAAAGCTAATAGGAAAACTGCAGATTTTACTTGCAGAGACATCAGTTTCACATCAGTTTCCCTCAGTTTTCATACATGTTGACATCGGTTTTCATTCATGGTGACATCAGTTTTCATGCGATTCTGTTATGCACAGAATGACACCAAATCCTCTGTCATCACTGCCCCCCTCATTGGTGATCCCCACATCAGAGACTCCACATCAGGATCCCCTCATCAGCCCCCCCCCCATCATAGACTCCCTCAACAGTGACCTCCTCATCAGGGATCCCCACCATCAGTGTCCCCCTATCTGTCCCCCACCATCAGTATCCCCCTCATCTGTCTCCAACTATTAGTGTCCCCTCATCTTACCCCCCCATCAGTATTCTCCTCATCTGTCTCCTGCCATTAGTGTCCCCCACCATCAGTGCCCCCTTATCTGTCCCCTGCGATCAGTGTCCTCCTCATCTGTCCCCCATTAGTGTCCCCAACCATCAGTGTCCCCCACCATTAGTGTCGAGTTATTTGTCCTCTACCATCAGTGACCGCTCATCTGTCCCCCACCATCAGTGTCAGAAACACCCTCCCTTCCAGCATCACTGAACTGAGCAGCAGCATGATCTCAGCCGGCATCCAACAGGGAAGGTAGGTGAGCAGTACAGACACAAAACACAGCTCTGCTTCTCCCACTTCCTGCCACACAGGATCAATGCAGAGTGGTGCTGTCCATTTTGCCTACGTTCCAGTGCGGAGCTGTGAGGGAAACTGCAGACATGCGGCATAATCCGCACAGCTCCGCACCGGACATCACACCTGCATTTTGGTATGAATGAGACACATAAGAAACCATTGTTTCCTGTAAGTCTTACAGAGACCTGCGGTTTTCTCCTTCAGAAAAGCGCAAGTCTATGCAGAAGGTGTGAACTAGCCCCAAGATGGACTTACAAATATTAAAGCTGAACTTGTTTCAACACATTTTAAGCAGTTACAGCAACAGTTTTTTTTTTGTTTTCCTTTTGGGATTAAGGTTTTAAATAAATGAATGAAATCTGAACTGTAAGCACCCCTACCAGATGATTTGATTCAGCCCTCCAACTGTCACTTTGACTGGACAGCTAGGCCTGTTACAGGAAGTTCAAAGAACAGATGTACTGGCCAGATCACCAGGTAATGGGAAAAAACCCTAACAGAGAAGACTAATGCAGCAAGAACATTTAAGGATTGGTAGACTGCTATATTTTAATTTTTTGCTTTTAGGTTTACATACATTTGCCAGTGCAACCAATAACTTCTTTTACGCCGAATTCCAGGCATTTTTCTTTTGCCTGTGCAGTGGGGCTGTATCCATACTGCATACGTTAACTGCTCATTTTTCTCTAGGAGAGGGAACAGTAGAGATATACTCACCTGACTCACCAATCCTCCCCGCAAAGGGACGGTCCCTTCGGCTCCTGCCAGCCCAATGGTCAAGCGGCCTTGTAAGTGGACTGTTCATGATGTCAACACACTCAAAGCATGTTCCATAGACAGAGACAATCCACCACTGGACAGTAAGGGAGCATGGTTTTATGGAGCATCGGTGGGTCAGGCAAGTATGTGCTTTGTGCTCATCCCTAGAAAAAACGAGCAGCTGATCTATATAGTGGGGGTACAGCCCCACTGCATGGTGAAACATTTTTTTTTTTTTTGTATAATTAAAAAAACAAATCTAATTCTGGACTTCACAAAACATGTCTGGTGCTTTCCACACACATGTCTACACAACATGCCTGCCGGTTTACAGTTATCCCTCCTTGGAGAGCTGTTGGAAAAGAAAACATACCCTCCAGTCTCCAGACTAGAGCCTTCTAACTTGAACCATTACACTCATGAAGGCACATAATCTGGTCACACATGGAAAATTAAATATTGAGATCAGCAATTCGAGTATTTCAGTCTTACCTCCTTTCTCTCGGAGGCAGTTGCTACCTCATTTTTGGCTTGTTCCACATAGTTCTTCAACTGCTGTGCAGTGGTGAGCAAAGAATTCACCATTTCTTCCAGATACAGCCAAGATCTTTGCTGCTCAGATACCTCCAATCCATTCACCACAGCAGGAGAGGACTCCTTAGTGGGAGTACTGGGAGCAAGAGCGAGTGCTGGGAGAGAAGATAACACTGCCGGAAAACAAGAGAGAGCTTAAATGAAAAATCAAACTTAAAAAACAACATCTACAAGCTCTATTGTAACTGAATGTTATAAAAAACGTTACGTATCAGTTTACAACTGTTGTGATTTTAGAAATGTCAAAATATTCAAGATAATTTCAGTGCCATATACCAACCTGGTGGTATTGTTTACACTGTATGCAGTTGATGATATACACGTGACATGTATATGTATGTCATATCCTGCTTGTGTAATTGGCTCACTGCTTTTTCTAGAAGCTACAACTCAAATTAGAGGCACCCCCTCGAAATAGGAGCTTAATTTTTACTGAAATAGTCTCTGATAGCCCATTCAATGTTCTTGTTGCAGAAATGTGCGAATTACTGCAACACGTCAGTGCACAAACCGCAGTGCCCTTCACTTTGAATGGCTCCCCCAACACATAATGCACTCAAACTGAAATGCATTGTGGTGCACTATATACAAAAATGGCGAGGTCAGGCCTTTTTTTGTGCATTAGCGGCGCCGTGAGCACAGTTTGAATCTAAACCAACCACATTACACAATCCCAATGCAAACTAAGAAAATCAACTACTCTTTTTTTGTAAAAACAATAATTACTTAAAATGTATCTGGCTACTGTTTATATGAATATAATAGACATGCACATTCAATAGAATCAGGAATTGTGAGGAATAATACATGGACTCTGCTCAAACCATAGCTGATCAGATCTGAATCGGGAACAAAAGAAAAATGCTTTGCATCTTTGAAACAATATGAGCTTTCCTTCTTGTGTTTCAGGTATTAGCCATGATAATGCAGGGATGAGGGACACACAGAAAAGCCTGATTGTAAGTTGTCACAGTATCACAAGTAGAGACAGCAAATCATTCTGTCTAGTTTAAAAATGAATTATTATGCATATTATCAGCTCCCAGGTTTACACATTCAGACAACAGAAACTGTTAACAGTTTATTTAAAGTGGCATTAGACCCCAAACCAAAAATGTAATACATTGCAGCTTATGAATCATTAGATGTGGTGACTGCATTAGTTTTCTTTTTTTCACAGTTTTCACCTGGTGATCTGACCAGTAACACCTCCTGTATTAGAATGCCTCCACAAGACAGGGGCACCTTTGAGCAGCAGCATTGTCAGTCTGGGGGGAGGGGATTGTTAGATGTACTAACAGATTTAGATACACTAACAAATTGAGGCCAAACCCCACATAATACTTTATATTCAGTTACAGCAAACAGTTTTTTTTTCCTTTTGGGATAAAGGTTTCACATAAATAAAAAAAAACCCTGATCATTCTAAGCACCCAAGCCAGTGGTAAATGGTTTGTCTCATTCTGATAACTGCAAGAGAGCCTACTTTGTTGAAAAATAACAGACTTTCTGGCCAGATCATTAGATGAAAATAGTAGAAACAAAGCCTAAAAAATTCAACAAATGCAGCCATCACACCTAAAAACTGGTAGGCTGCAATATAATACATTTAAATGAGTGTCAATAGAAACTGCAGAAAACTTTCTGCTTAGACCAAAGTTCTTATTTCTAAAGCACAGAGGATATTAAACCGGAGCAAGGACACATGGGAGACAGAAAGAAGTTTTAAAGCAGTCACGCTGATGTTCAAGGATAAGCATCCAAGGGTGACAGAGCAGAGAACTTTATCCTGCCAAGTCTCTGATACATTTCATGCCAATTTGCACCTCTGGGTGGCAGAGCTCCAAGCACTATATTGAGGATATATATTTAGCCCAGTGAGATCTCACATCAGGGGTTATGTACTGCCAGGGTGATGTCACTTAATGAAATAAACCAAACGTTAAGATTCAGACAGCGTGCCAAAAACAAAAGAAACTAGGGAACATGAGCGAGTACAGTGACAGCAAACATTAGAAGGGAAAAAAAAAGATAATAATGTCAAAGAATGCACACTTTTGGCAAAAAGCATGCTGCAAATCACAAACAGGATATGAATAAATCAACAAATATATACCTTGTCTGGAGAAATGTGTGCGTTTCCATGTCAAATTTCCTGTCATCTGAATAGTAGCTATAAATCGTGATGGACGCTTTATTGGAAACTGTCTGCAGCAGAATTGTATTGAAGATTTCTCCGACCTCTGCCTATGCTAAACAGCCAAGTCATCAGTGAGTGGCTGGAACAGTTGATGTTGGAATATGAAGCCTTTGAAGGACCGAAATCTTGCACTGGGTACTGTGAGCAACTCAGGGAGTAAAGAATTACCCCAGATGGGGTTATTAAGGGAAGAGCTCCAATTAGTGGAACAAATTACTGAATTAATATATTAGAGGGTCTTAAGGGTGACTTTTTTTTAATGGTGGCACCCAATGTGGACAGTGGTGTATTTAGGTTTCATGCTGCCCTAGTCCAGTGGTCGGCAAGCCGCGGCTCGCGAGCCACATGCAGCTCTTTGCACACTTTAATGCGGCTCTTCTGTGTGCCAGGCGCCCGCTCCCCTCCCTCCTCTCGGGCGGCCGCCCCAAAAGTCAGGACTCTGCAGCTAGCCCAGCAATGGGCAAACTACGGCCCGCGGGCCGTATACAGCCTGGCGGACCTTTTAATCTGGCCTGCGGAGCGTGGCAAACATTGGCTGTCAGGATGTAGGCGGGGCAGCGTGACGAACTCCTCTCCTCTCACAGTCCGCCCTGAAGACCGGAACGGCGCGGGGAACACGACGAGAGGAACGCGCGGAGCAAAGGTAAGTGAATTGGCACAATATGAGGAATGAATTACTATAGGGGGGATGAATTACTATATGGGGGATGAATTACTATATGGGGGATGAATTACTATGGGGGATGAATTACTATATGGGGGATGAATTACTATATGGGGGATGAATTTACTATGGGGGATGAATTACTATATGGGGGATTAATTACTATGGGGGATGAATTACTATATGGGGGATGAATTACTATATGGGGGATGAATTACTATGGGGGATGAATTACTATATGGGGGATGAATTACTATATGGGGGGATGAATTACTATATGGGGATGAATTACTATATGGGGGATGAATTACTATATGGGGGATGAATTACTATATGGGGGATGAATTACTATATGGGGGATGAATTACTATATGGGGGATGAATTACTATGGGGGATGAATTACTATATGGGGGATGAATTACTATGGGGGATGAATTACTATATGGGGGATGTATTTTCAGTTTTAAAAATGTGGCTCTCAAAATAAATTTCAATCGTGGTTTTGGCGAGATTTGGCTCAGTTGAAAAAAAAGGTTGCCCACCACTGCCCTAGGCAACACAAAAATTGTCTCCCCCCCATGGAGAGACCCTGACAAACACCCCCCTCCCCCACGAAAAGAGCCTGACATTGACCAACAACATCCCACCCTACCCGAGAGAGCCTTCCACTACCACCTCCCATACACTGGCAATCCCCCACCCAACCCCGGCAAGAGAGAAGACACTTACCTTTACAGCTCCGGACATCCCTGGGAACAAAAGTCATGCTCTGCATACACCATCAAACAGCCTGCAGCCTCTCTCAGATCCCACATGGTCCCCATGCTGCGTGTGTCCTTTCTTCCATCCCTTCTTTAGGGGAGCAGCGTTGCCCCCCTGAAAAATGCCACTGCCCCCCCCCCGAAAAAATGCCGCCCTAGGCAAATGCCTTGTTTGCCTTGCGGTAAATACGCCCCTGAATGTGGACCCAGTAGTTTGGCAATAAATTGTATCTGGCGCTCATCCATCACCCTAATAGTCTTGTTTACTGTATCTGTATCCTGAAATATAAATATTTTGCTTAAATGATGGAAATGCTGCAGCTGATCTGTCCAGACAACCAGAGAAAGGCTCGGTTCACACTAGTGCAACTCAAAAGATGTGTGATTTTCAGTGCGACTTTCATGTGATTTTTACATTCTATGGCACTCAAGTCACAAGAAAGTCGCATCAAAGTAGTGCAGGAGCCTAAAGTCACATATATTGGAACAGGTGCCATTGAAATAAATGGGTTGTGACTTGCCATGCGACTTTATGGGGTTTATTTACAAAAGCTGGAGAGTGTAAATTCAGGTGCACTTCTGCAGCAAAACCAATCAGCTTCCAGTTTTTATTGTCAAAGCTTAATTAAACAAGCTGAGATTAGAAGCTGATTGGCTACCTTGCACAGCTGCACCAGATTCTGAGTGAACCAGTTTTAGTAAATCTGCCCCTATGTGCCCAAAGTCACATGGCAAGCCGTACTAGTGTAAACAGAGCCAAACTGAGCATAACAGCAGTGAAAATACACTTGGTAATAAATTAAAATAAAATGTACTATAGAAAAAAAAATGGCAAAAGACCCAGAGGAATGGGCTTAGTCTAATCAAAGAAATCAGCTAACCCCTAATTGTCTCCAACTCATCCAGGCTGGAAACCTATTAGCTATGGAGAGAGGGAGGGGAGAGAGAGGGGCGCCAGGCACCGGTATATTGTAGCAATTGATTTTATTATGGGATTGAAAACAAAAAGTTGCACTCACAAGCATTCAACATGCATAGCCACGTTGCAGTGAGTAGATGCTGACCCTGAACGATGCCTGAACAAAGATGGCTCCATCCTCCTGGTGCACTTCATTCGGAGGCTGGCTGCCTAAACTGGGAAGAGACAGACGCCTCTTGATGACGTCAGAAACAAAGATGGTGGCAGGGGGCTGGAGTGCAGAACAAAACTGGATTCACTGGGTATGTGATGGATTTTTTGTTTTTGTTTTTAATATCAAAGATTACCCCAGCGATGAAAGGTAATAGGAGAGACACAGACATTGGAACAAGATCTGCAAACTACAAACTGAAACTAATGAAATCAAGGAGGAACTTCACCCCTCATGTGTTTTTTTTCTTCTTTAGCTTCTCTATTACCTTTCGCTAAGGTCATCTTTAAAAAAAAAAAGAAGAAATCTTTGTTTCTGACATCCTTAAGAGTCAGTTGTCTCTTCCCAGTTTAAGCAGCCAGCCTCCTAGCGAAGTGCACCAGAAGATGGAACCATCTTTGTTCAGGCATCTTTCAGGGTCAGCACCTACTCACTGAGACATGCCCATGCATACTGAAGGCTTGTGAGTGAAACTTTGTGTTTAATCCTATAATAAAATCAACTGCTACACTATACTGCTGCCTGACGAGCCGAGCCTCTGTCCCCTCCCTCTCTGTAGGGATCCAAATGAAAAGAGAATCACTTCCTCTGTCACTGTACATGCATTATCATGGCTAGGTTTGACCCAGGCATGTATTGGAATTAGTTGACAAATGTTAACTATATGCAACCTCTGACAGTGAAGTCACTGCTGAAGTTCTGGTGGTGACACTGACCATTGGGGCTGGAGGACAGCGATCACACAGTGTTGTTCGCTCTTCATTTCCTACTGTTTGCAAAAGAATACTGTACAAGATGTCTTCCGAATAGAGGAGCTGCACAGCCAGTGACCCGCGATCAGTGTGCTCCAGCCCCAACTGCAAGTTTCACCATCAAAACTTCACTGGTGACATTACCATCAGAAGCTGCATGTAAGTGACATATCTTTCAATAAAGAAATAGAGGCCCCCAGTGGGGCACACATCATTAGAGGAACCTTATTGGTTCCTAGCAAATGCCCCAAATAAAGTTTTTCGCCCACACTTCCCAATTTTCCATTTGGTTTTTCATTTAAAAAAAATCATCAGGCCAAAAGGAAAGGGGTATTATATTTGCAAATCATTGCAATACATGTAGAAGACCTGTTTTAAACATGATAGGTGCGTACAATACAAACAATTTGACTACAGAACATATGGCAGGGCAGGGCGTAATAGATTAGGCTTTCTTGCACCACACACATTTACTGTAAGTTGTGTCTCACCTGTAGCTCCAGTGTACACATCTCCCTGTGTAGGGCTATCAGTGAGAATAGTAGTTCCTTCTGCAGCGGCTTCTCTCTCAAAGGTCAGCGAATCTGTAGCTGTGATCTGCCCAGATGAAGACACAGTGACTGCAGTGGGGAGACCATTATAATACTTTCATTAGAATTTAAATGGAGGTGCAGTCAAGCCGCTCAACATTAACATATGAAGGTTGCCACGCTACTCTCATCTAAACATATAAATGTCATCACCAAAATTTCATAAAACTTTAATATGTAACCTTTAAATCAATTTTCAATGTTTTTAAATCAGCAGCTTTTGTTAAACTAATGCCTGGTGATCCCTTCATGAAGGTCCCTGTGCAGGCACTTTCTCTATAGGATGACAACACTCTGTCTCTTTCTCCCAATTGTGCTCCAGCATTATCACTCTGTCATCACAAGGTAATATACACATGGACATTTCAAAGAAACGTTCCACAAAAATAAATCGAACAGATAGCACCATCCATGCTATACAGTAGGGATGGACGAACCTGTAGTGTCAGCTATTGTATTTTGACCGGCCAGCAGTGGCGGTTGTCCAAATACCCCAACAGTGGCTGCATCTTATTGGATACAGCTGCTGGTTGGCAGACAATTTTCTGCCTGATTCCTTTTATTTTTCAGTTGAACAATGTCAGGTAGGAAGCTGCCAACAGGGCCTATAAAGCCAATTTTTTCCAGTTCATCCGAACCAGCCCAAATTCTCTCAGTGTACGGACAATTTGGGAATGTGCATCCTCATACTCAGATATACTATCAGTAATTTTTCCCCAAGAGATATTGTATTGCTCAAAGACTGTATTGCTCAAAAATTGGTATTGTACGTCTATCTCTTGACAGGTTTTAAATTACTGACTAACCTTTCAGCTCAGACTGTATGGAAAACTTATTTTTTGAGTGATTTATCATGCAACTGATTATCTTACAGCAGCTTTTCAGCAAGAATACAAACTGCATTGTCTGGCATAAGGCCAGCCACTGTCAGGAAAATGTGAAATACGCACGTAAAATGGAAGAATCACATCAAAATGATGTTCCAGCAAACTATCCAAGAACACAAAAAAGAAACTATATAATTCTCATTGAAGTTTACTTTTGAACTCTGCTGTTTTCTTCTTTCAAAATGTCTGTATATCCACAGAAAAAGCCTCTACTGAAACAGACATGAGACATGATATACAAAGGCTTCTCTTTCTCAGAAATTTCAGTTTGGCAATCAACATATAAATAATGTATTATCTAAATTTACCAAACCCCATATATCATAATTCATTTCCAATAAATGTTGCTCTGCATCCCATGGTTCTAATGCTTTGGCTCTTACAGGTGGTTTCGGCTGATGCCGGCAGAAGGCTGATATCCTTTCCTAGTTCTTTTTTGTCTGAAACTGTAGACATCTCAACCTCCTTCTTACGGCGTTTGTAAGGAATGAACAGACGGATCGGACCACTCTAATAATGAAAAAAAATAATGATGATTAGTACAAAAATGGACATCTTATGTATCTTGTGAATGAGTGCAGGGGTAGTGCGCAGGTTTTTTTTTTTTTTGCAGGAACATGAATATTTATTACTTTGGACCAGCAAATAACAAGCAATCAAAAATCATTACCCATCAATGTAAATGTATAGCCATTTTAAATTTTATTCAAGTTGTGTTAATATTTAAAGGATAAGCTCACCTTTTAACAAAAAATAATAAATGCTAATTTTTTTTGCAAGTAAAAAAAAAATGTGCATTTACTGATTTTTGTTTTAGGAGCCTGGAAAGCATTACACCAGCAATGTATGTCTGCAGACTGTCAGTGTAATGTTTCTGCTTGTACAATGTATGGGCAGACAGTTTTACACTGACATGAAGAATCAATGTACTCAACAGCACCGTGGAAGTTCATTAAGAACTACAAGCCGAGAGACGCAAAGTGTAATAGCCATAGATGAGACGGTAAAAAGCAACAACATCAGCCATTACCAGAACAAGCCGCACCACCTGAAGAGTTCGCGCAGAAGCAAGGCTGAGAAAGTGCCAGGGGGCCTCCATCATGGAAAAAAACAGAGACAAGGCCATGGTAGGTAGATCCAGGTGACTCAGTGTAATGACCCAAACTTGAATTGTGCTCATAATGAGAAGGATCCAAGAAAAAAAAAAAAAACCCAAAAGGGTCCCCAAACATGGAAACAATGTAACAACCTGTCCACATAGGACTTTTGTGGGGGAACAGTGGAAACTTGAGGAGATGACATAGAGCTTCACAGCTGCAAGTAACTTATGTCAGAAGTACAAAGACTCAACAAGGTCACCATCTGGGTTATGCATTAGCACAGAAGACTGAGCCGTAGAAGATACATAAACAGGAAAGCAGGGTATGCAGAGGGTCAGGTAGCCATCAGGTGTTGAGTATCTAGTTCCCAATAAAAGCCACAGGGTTCTTGCCTTCATTATGTTCAGGTATACTTATGGCACACACATGATTGCGCCGCAATCTGTTTTCCATATCATCAAGACAAGCAGCATTTTGGGCAGTTAGGTGTACATTATGTTTAACATCCCTCTGTAATGACGCTATGTCGTCATCAATAGTGCTGACATGCCACTCCAGGGCTGATGTTCTCTGCCTCAGCTTCTGCAGGTTCTGCCAAATAAAAGTAATTTCTGCCTTCACCCCCCTAATTTCATTAGTAAGAGCCAGGGGCGGACTGACAACTCATGGGGACCCCGGGCAATATCATGGGGCCCCTGTGTCCTTGCCCAAACTCAAAAAAGCCTATGAAGAAAAAGGTACCAGGGGCATCTCATGGGGCCCCCTACTGACCCTGGGCCCTCGGGCAGTGCCCGAGTTTCCAAATGGTCATTCCGCCCCTGGTAAGAGCTGTAATGGCGGAATTACAGGATGTAACAGTAGACAGGATATCTCAGAGGGTAGGCTCCGTTTCCTCCAGTTCCACGGAGGGTACAGAGGGCATGGCAAAGATGTCTGCCAGCACTGTGTCCCAGTCAAGCAAGGATCCAGCCGCATCCTCCAAAGGAACTGTGTAATCCGCTTCAGATTGGCCACCAGACGAATCCTCTGGTGCGATGGAAGGAGTGGGAGAGTCTTTGACTGAGGCCCGAGAGAAGAGCTTGTGTGTGTATTTCTCCTTAGTAGAACGCTGCGGTAAGGCACGATCTTGGCCCCCGGAGTCAGAGGAAGAGCGGGCGTCTTTAAGCCTCAAGCCATAGCGGAGGGTGGACTGTAGTCATTTAGGTGATATCCGGCTATGTAAGAAGCCTCCGGTGCAGGATTTAAGACGATCAGGCAGGGTAATTGCATGGATCCCCAGCGGAGAAGATGAAGGAAGAATCCGGCTACATCTGCCGCTCAGCCACACCCTCACAAATACAGTAGATTGTCCTGGTACAGAACATTCCTTTGGAGACAGGCACTGCCCCATTCTAACAAAGCAGAGTGCCAAAGGCAGAGTGCCAAATTAAGTGTCTTCTCACGCTAGTGGCTATTCTCTAATAGCTCATCCGAAACACAAAAAAACAACAACTTTGTAGTGGGGTTTCCACACACTGCAAGGTTAAGTCAGGGAGCCTAGGAAGCTTCAGCAGGCTTCCTACACAATGTACAACTGGGCCCCCAAAGCCTCTCTCTAACACACTTTAGTAGGCAATTGCACTTTGACAACCACCATTTACAATGCAAGACCAATAGAGAAGAGGTGAGTGCCAGAAGCCTGCTGGAGTGAGAAATAAGGGAAGTATTACAGCCTATTAGTCAACCGCTAGACATAACAAGCATGCAACTTTTGCAGGGTGGGGGCACTGTAAAAAATATATTTCTATCTGAGATCAGTTTTAATACAACAACAATATGGATGAACTGGCATGACAATGTGAGCAACAATTTTGTCATCCCTTTTAAAATACTTTAAAAAGATAAACACTTCTATAATGAAACAATATATACGATCACTAAAAATACATATACTTTACAAGCTCATAGTGAAATCAGACTGCATTGTGGAGTTCTGCAATTATTTTATGCCAAGGACTATTTGAATGTCAGTGGGTGACAGGAAAGGAAAAATCCTCCGGCATAGCAGCAACTGGCTATCAAGTGTTTCATTTCACCTGATTAAAATGAAGTGCCACAGGACATTTAAGTAGACTTCTCCTTCAAGTACTTGCATAGATAATAAGGAGCAATGGATGACAAGCCGGGGTGGCAGAATCAGCACAACATCAAACGCCTGTGAGATCTGAAACTACAGACAAGATTGGCACATATCCTGTAAAAGGTTTCTGGTGCTAAGATCTGTAAGTGCATTGTAGTCCTCCGGGACTGCAGAGATAGAAAACCTGACAAATCAGCAAAGCAGAGTCCCAAGGGGGCATTAAAAAGTTTATGTATTCCATGTCCTAACTGAAAAAATCTGCAGTGATCACAAGTCATTCCTTGTTACTAGGGAATAAATAACCAAGGAAGACTGGAACAGAAGCTGGTCTCTTCATTGCAGAAGAGAAAAAAAGTCTGAAAATCACAGACTAATGACTCCAGAATGATGGACAACAATTCCAGTATGATGAACATAATTAAAAAGCTCCCATCCCCAACAACTAGCAATACTGGAGTGGAATAAATTCAGTGTTAAAAATGGACCTTGAACCTAAAGTGCACCATTCTCCTTTCTAAAGTGCAGCAGAAGCCTAAACTCTGCTCTGAACTCAGCAGCAGTGCAGCATTGTTGCCACACACCATCACATGAAGCTGCATTAGGTGGACTTCACTGGCAAGATCAACAGATATTTGTGTGACTTTCAGGGTGACTTAGGCCTACTTCACACTGGCATTGAAAGCAGGCATTTGAGAGGCGTTTTTAATGCTCCTCCAACACCTATGCAAATGATACTATGGACAGCACACAGTGCTGTTCACATTATCAAAACATGAAGCTCTAGCATCGTGCCACTTCAAAATTGAAGCCTCATGTCAACTCTGGAGGAGTTTGAAGCCTT